GATCAACACAGGCCTCGATGTGGGTGCTTCCCCAAAAATTTGGGTTTAGGGTTTAGGGTTTAGGGGTTTAGGCTTTAGGGGTTTAGGCTTTAGGGGTTTAGTGTTTAGGGTTCAGGATTTAGGGATACCTTCAAAGCAGTTATATAGGGGTTATATAGGGATATATAGGGTTGAAGGTTTCCCAAAATTAGGGGTACCTTTTTGGGGGTCCCTATAATAAGGACTATAGTATTTTGGAGTCTAATATTGGGTTCCCCCTATTCTGGGAAACTACCATGTGGGTGCTTCCATGAAATACTGAGATTCCCTTCAGAACCAACAAGCATTGTAATCCTTATTCTAAGTACCTTCAGAAACAGACCCCTCGTTGGCGGAACTCCTTAATTATGCCCTATGTAGCGAGTTGTAGCCGACTACATGGGTCAAACTTTTAGGGTTGGAATTGGGGGCGGTACAGGCTTAGGCCTCGATCTTCGAGATTCTTTGACCCGATATATATGAGGGTTTCCCAGGATTAGGGGTACCTTTCTGGGAGACCCCATTTTAAGGATTAAGGCATACTGAGGTGTATTTTGGGGTCCCTTTTTGGGGAAACTACCACACATCCTGCTTCTCGCAACTTATCCCCACCTGGAACTCAGTCAACATGTAGATCATAGAACGGATTCGGTTGGGCAATGCACTTCCCCTAAGAATCCGAGTATGTAAATGATACCTACATTGGGCCCCAAAGTCTGTAAATATTACCTAATCACATTGGGCTAATTGGATCCCTAGGGTTTATGAGCACCATGGTGGGGCCTTGTCACGTTTATTGTCTTGAGCCCATCCCTTTAATTTTCTACCCCCGTGTCATGTTCATTGTTCCCAACACGGTGCCAAACTGACTGATACGATACAGGATGTACAGCCTCGGAGAATGATTAACCAGAGCTGAGCATCAAAGCCGGAAGAATGATAGGGTATTCGAAGAATTGTAGAAACAATGCCCACGGTCAGAAGGTCACATGCTAAGCTAAACGCCACGTGAGTTGTATTTTATATGGGGATACCATGGTACCCAATATAGAGTAAGATTATATCCTCATTTTGGGGTATAGTATTTTATATAAGGAATATTATCTTACTAGATTCAATCACCAAAAAAAATTACTCACGTAAGCAAGACCTCCTCACAGATGTTAAAAGAATCTCGGGCCTTTGGCTGCCCCTAAGGGTTCATGTACCATTGGGTACTTGACATTTGGGTAAAAGTGCAGGTTTTGCGGGTGAGTCTATGTCTGTTTTGTACTTGGACCCTTAGGGCTACCAGTTCCTTAAACCCTAAACCCTAAACCCCCAAAAAATCCTAAACCCTAAACCCCCAAAAAGTCCTAAACCCTAAACCATGCGGACTACCAGCTTAGAGGTGCCAGTGGCAGCGTCCCTGCCACCCACCAGCCTGCCGCCGTCGGCGCGGTCCCGTCTGCAGGCTTGATGGTCTGGGTTAGCTGCAACTCAGATTAGAGGTTTAGGGTTTAGGGCTTTAGGGTTTAGGGTTTAGGGTTTAGGGGTTTAGAGTTTAGGGTTTAGGGTTTCCCAGGGTTTAGGGTTGCCGAAAATTAGGGGGTACCTTCAAAAGGGGTATATGGGGTTATATAGGGATATTATACGGATATATAGGGTTGAAGGTTTTGCAAAATTAGTGGTATTTTTTCGGTGTCCTTATGAAAAGGACTTTCGTGTTTTGGGGTGGATATTGAGATACCCTAATTTGGGGAATCTACCATATTAAAACCTCCCAAACCCCGGAGTAGCAAGTACTCCCACTGTGGTTTACCATAAGGAATATTTATAAGGAACATTTAGTATTGGGGGCTGGGGGGTTTTGATCAAGGGGGAGGGGATGCACAACCTGCACATCTGAAGGTGGCGGAGGCTGCTGAAGCTACGTCATACTGACACGAAGCCATGTGCTGTGGATGTGTGTTATACCATACCTTCCTTGGCAAAGGCAATGGCAAGTATGGCATTTAGATGCTGATCTTGCGTAACCCTAAAGGTAGCAGTTACTTCAATAGTAGGCTGCTGAGCTATGTAACTATAGGGTACTCGTATATAGAACCTAGAACCCGTCATTTAGGTAACTGGAGCCCTAGGGTAAGCTCAGGCGCAGGCGGGCTGAGTTGGTGTGTAGCGGCTTCGTCAGTCGTCTTGCAGCAGTATCATGGTTAAGTGTTTAGGGCCTTATAACCCTAAACCCTAAACTCTAACCCCTAGACCCTAAACCCTCAACCCTAAACCTTAAACCCTAGGGCACCCAGACCCTCATCTTCCAGATCTTTTAGTGGTGACTTGTGCTCATTTGGGCTCCTTGGCTTGTATTGGTCAGGAAGACTGTAGTCTCCTAATCCCTCAGAAGTAGTTTTCATTCTTAAAATATGATTTAGGAGGACCCCCCACCCTGAAATAGTGGAATAGTAGGAATATGATAAGAGGGCCCCAGTATAATCCTTACTATCCCTTATAGTCACTATTACTGGGTGGGGCGTCGACCTAAAGTACGACCCTGAGGAAGTAGTTTAAGTGACATTTTAAATGTAGGTCTACCCTAAAACACTAAACCTTGGCTACTGCCCCCCTCAGTAACAGTCGGATAATAATTCTAATATGGTTATGTATAGCCCTTAATAGACCCCTAATATAGACTGTTCCTGGGGGGGGCAGTACCCAAACTAAACCCTAAAGGGACTACAGAAGACGTGGCCTGCCATGGTGGCTTCGCAAGCGTCTCGCTATGCATCCTTCGTTGGCAGCTTGGCCCTGAACGAGGCCTCCACGGCCTTGGTTGCCAGTGGGGCCTCTGAGTCCCTTCTGATCCAACTCTGTGGAGGCAACATGAACCTGGATGAATGCTAGGGTTTAGGGTCTGGGGCTTAGGCTTTAGGGTTTGGGGCTTAGGGTTTAGGGTTTAGGGTCTGGGGTTTAGGCTTTAGGGTTTGGGGCTTAGGGTTTGGGGTTTGGGGTGTTGGGTTTAGGGTTTGAGGGGGATATAGGCTATATAGGGGTTACAAAGGGATATATAGGGTTTAGGGATCTCTTATACTTTTTGGGGTATGGGATGCCTTATATACATGAAAAAGGATCCTTTTTTCTTGCTGAGTTATTTATAATGTGGGCTAAGGAACCTGGTGCAACGTTTTGAGGCTTGGGTGAACACTGCAGGCACCGCTGCTGATGTACCTGGCCTGGTTTCAAGCAGCTAGACAAAGCCTACCATACTATGGACCCACAGTAAATAGCAGGATTTCCTTTTTGTTGTAACGCAGTTTAGATTGCTTAACAGCAAGTAAGGTACTCCTGAAGCCCCGGGTGGGCTCTGGCCTGGATGTCTTTGGTCGCAGCTGGGCTCTGATATTGGCCCAAGTCGGCTTCTCGGTGCTTCGGGCTCTGACGTGGAAGATGCCTACCTTAGCTACTAGGTACCCCAGTAGTACCCTTTTTCCCGTTTCATTTTGGGGTCTCCTTATTAAAGCTGACAGTAGGAACAAGGGTACCCTGATTATGCTGACAGTAGGAACAAGGGTACCCTGATTATTAAAAGGTTTCTGGGGAACCATTTTCTTTTCCATTATCCCTATATAACCCCAAATTAACCCCAACACACTTTGCTAGTTTCCATGTTCTTTTCCAGTATCCCCCAATTTAACCCCAACATTACGTAGGCTATCTACACTACCTTGCGGGTGGGTGTGCGCCTGCTCGGGAACCTCTACGGCCCTGCTGTTGCCACCACCTACGCAGATCTTGTGGGCGGCAGGGCATCACCCAACTTTGCAGGAGCCGTTCCTATCCCTAGGGCTCCAAATAGCCCAATGTAGGTGCTATTTATAGACATTGGGGCCCAATGTAGGCATTATTTGTAGACATGGAGCCCCAGGGTATGTACCCCACTAGTACTCCTTTTCCCTTCTTGTTTTGGGCAAAGGGTACCTGTATTTTGAAGGGCCTACTGGGAAACCTAGGTACCCTAAACCCTAAACCCTAAACCCTAAACCACCTAGGTTCAGCACAGCCAAGTCTTCCTCTCCTTGGGATTTTTCTCTGCGCTTCTTTGGGCAACTCGATTGCCGAAGCCGGCCTCCTGTTTCGGAGCCGCAGCTCCTGGGTTGCTGTTAAGGAACTTAAATCAAGTTACCATAATGGGTTTAGGGTTTAGGGTTTGGAGTTTAGGGGTTTAGGGTTTAGGGGTTTAGGGCCTATAATGGAGAATCAAATGGAAAAGAAAATGGAAAATGACATGAAAACTGGGGGAATATAGGGATAAAGGAACTTAAATTAAGTTACCATAATGGCCTATAATGGAGAATCAAGTGGAAAAGAACATGGAAAATGAAATGGAAACTGGGGGAATATAGGGATTAAGGAACTTAAGTTAAGTTACCATAATGGCCTATAATGGAGAATCAAATGGAAAAGA